TTTTTTTTTTTTTTTTTTTTAATATATCTTTATTGATTTCCAAGAGGGGAAAGAGAGACAGAAACATCAGTGATGAGAGAGTCATTGATTGGCTGCCTCCTGCACGCCCCCGACTGGGGATTGAGCCCACAACCTGGGGCATGTGCCCTGACCGGGAATCGAACCCCGATCGCCTTGATCGTAGGTCGACGCTCAACTGCTGAGCCACGCCCGGCCAGGCTGTGATCTGTCAACTTTTAAAGAGGGAGCTGCTATGTAGTTTATAGAGTTTCTTGGAGGGTAAAATTTTTACTACTCTTAAGGATAATATCAAGTCCTAATTTGTAAAGAAATCTATTGAGTATTTAGTAATTTGTAATATTTATTTCTTGCTCATCATTGGAATTCCACACCCCAGAAGATTTCAGAATCCCTTACTGGATTTCTGTTTATCTTTTTAGGTTTTGACAAAGCCAAACTCCAATCAGTGGAAACCTACCTTAAAGCTGTGAAGTTGTTTCGAAATGACCAGAATAGTTCGGCAGAACCTGAATATTCCCAGGTAGGCACATAACCCACTTAGTACTGGGTGTAAATTCTGCAGCCTGGCCACCTGGGCTTCAGTTCCAGCTCTAAGACTTATTAGCTGGATAACCCTGGGCAAAGTATTTAGTGTTTCTGCCTCAGCTTTTTCAGCTCTAAATTATGAAGATAATATCTACCACATAGGATTCTTAAGAGATTAAATACAAATTCGTTAGAACAGTTTAAGGCGCATAATGAGTGCTCAATAAATGATAGCTATTATTATCATTCTTTAACAAATGTTATGTGTGACCTTGCTTTGACTTTATTAATTTTACATAGGTTTTTATTACAGTGAAACTGAGAGAAAAAAAAAGTTTACTAAGCCCACCTCAACTATCACAAACAGGCAGAGAGGGGCGGATTTGAGGCGCAGAGGCATCTGTGTTGTCATCAGGCATCTGTAAAGACTGTGTTCATGCTGTTGGGAGGACAGTTGGGGAATAAAAAAGTTTATGGAGACTGCACAGTTTGTGTTGTGGTAGTTTGCATTCGCCTCTGCTAATTTCCATGTTTTATAAGTTAAATGGGGTTTTTAAATCTTTTATCTTTGGTGGGTGTGTTTCACCATTACAAGCTGCATTCAAAGAAATATAAATATGCTAATTTTTTCTCAGAAAGTAGTGCTTGAATTGGAATCTGTCCTTATGAATCCTGATTTCTTTTTTCCTGTTTCTCTCCTAGGTGATCCAGATTAACCTGAATTCGATAGTTGCATCTGTCAGTGGTCCAAAAAGACCGCAGGATAGAGTGGCAGTGACAGAGATGAAAAGTGACTTCCGAGCTTGCTTAAGTGAAAAGGTAGATGACCTCACTGTCATCTTTGTTATCACACTGTGTGTGGACTAAGGAAAGAGGCAGCAAGGTGGCTCTCAGTGCATTGCTGCATTTTTCTGTTGCAGCACACACCAGCGGCCCCCAATTCCTTCTCCATCTGAAGTGCAGGTCGCTGCTTTGGCAAGCTTGTTTTCAGGTCCACGCTGAGGATCAGAAGTTGCCTATGTCTACTTAAATTTCAGTTAAAAATATCGTTTTAGTCACAATAGCCTCATTTCAAGTGGAATACTACATGTGGCTGTAGCTTTTATATCAGTGTATTTACACTATCACAGAAATTTCTGTTAGACAGCAATGCTCTAAACTATCTTGTGAATTCCCAGAATAGAAGAAAAAAACTACCTGTCTGAGAATCATGGCTTCACTCTTGTCACTTTCTCTATTCTGAGAACTAGTAGCTGGTTTTTTTTTCAAAGCTTTTGTTTTTATAATTTGTTGATTGTCTTATTGTGGAAAATGTTAAGCTTATACAGGAATAAAAGAGTTTAATGAGTTCCCATGGCCTTTGCTCCAACAGTTGCCAGCTCTAGCAAATTCTACACACACAGACACACGCACGCACGCACGCACGCACGCGCGCGATCATTGGGAAGCAGATCTTCAGGACCATTTGAACAAAAAGTTTGCCCCACGTCTTGCGAATGAATTGAGAACCAGAGCCAGGTGAGAGCTGGCCCCTCGAGCTTGACTGGGCTCGCAGTAGTTGAAAGCAGCAGACACCAGCAAACGCCTCGTGTGACTTCACGTTCACACTTGAGCTAAACCACAGCTATAGGATGTTGTGGGCCTTTAGCATCTCACACATGCTTAGAATTCCAGGTGTTAAATTCCCAAGTGTCAAGGCTCTTCCTATTTTATATTTGTGTGCAAATTTCTCCAGGTTGGCTTCAAAGGCTTCCAGATTGCAGCTGAAAAGCAGAGTGATGCCGTTTCTGTTCACTATGAAGGAAGTGACTATCTGCTGTCGCATGGGTCTGTGGTCATCGCGGCAGTTACCAGCTGCACCAATAACTGCAACCCATCTGTCATGCTTGCCGCAGGTAGGTGGTGGTTTAAGGCTGTACATTGTCTTTCCCTGAATTATTTGTACCTTTCTGTCACACTCATCTTCTGTTTCTTAGATGGTGCATGAGTATTGGTGTGTGTGTTGGACATTGAGGACGTTTTGAGGTTTTAATTAGGTGTTTAGGAGCCTAAGTTTGATTTATGTTGCCAGTTTTCTTTTTATTACACAGAAGGTACATTATTTTGTTATAACTTACATGTCTGTTAGTTTTAGGTCATATCTGCTTGTTAACTTAGACCTATTAATTAGAAAATCTTTGATAATCTGCTGGGAGTTAGCGTAGCTGTGCTGGATTCCATTGAGAGTGTGCGAAAGGGAACATTACTGACAAAGGTTGCCATGAAGTCAATTGTGTGTACCTGGAGCAATTGTTAATTGTAGGAAATCATGTATAATGTTGTTACTGTTTATTAAGATTATGACATTTAAAACGGTTCAGTTAATGTCGTGTGCATAAGGCAGTGCTCTCGGATTGTACCTTAATTTATAATGTAAGTGATACTATACTTACTATAATTTTTTGTTTTAAATGAAACAAATCAATAGAAAAAAATGGATAAAATAAATGTATGAATTTGGACTTTAACCCTCATGTAAATGAGGGAGATTTACCTGTTTAATAAGCCTTTCTTGTTCCTACTTTAATGTGAGGGAAAGAGCGCCTTAGTAATCATGGCTTGTTTACTGTGCAGGCCTTTTGGCTAAAAAAGCTGTTGAAGCCGGTCTGCGTGTGAAACCATATATAAGAACAAGTTTATCACCAGGCAGTGGGATGGTCACACATTACCTCAGTTCCAGTGGAGTGTTACCGTATCTGAGTCAGCTCGGGTAAGTGACAGTTATCACTATTTACATTGTGGTTGGTCAGCAGTGATTGAAGTTGCTTGTCAGCACCTTCCATATACAAAGAGAAGATACAAAAAAAATACACTTAGTTCTTGTTACCTTGCTATTACCACGCGATATCTGACGCCTTATCCCTCAGCAAACGCTTTTTGGGCATATTTAGTGTGAAAGGCAATGTGTTGGCTAGAGAATGAGGTGTGATCTCTAGTTGCAGGATAGAAAGACAAGACAAATAGGTAAAATCAAGTAACAGTGACAGAGACAGTGTAAGGGATGGTACCAACTATTATGTACTTTGTGTGAGTCGTGTAGGTCAGTTTTCAGAAAAGAATGGAATCTTACAGGTTGTATTATTAACTGAGTAAATTGCCTTAATTGAAATTTTGTGAGTTTCCTGGGTCTATGAAGCATAGGTTAAGTTGTTTCTGAAATTTGGAGATAATAACATTCACATTTCTTACGTACTCTAAAAAACGGTTGATGCCACCATTATTTTCATGTGTACCTCAGACATATTATCTTACATAAATCATCAGTTCCTTTCAAGCCTGATGAATTTTATGTATTTTTTTGGATTTAAAAGAACATCTGAAAGTAATTTTGTGGATTATATGTATACTTTTTTAGTTATGTCATCTTGAAATTTTTGTCAGGGACTTTTCTTGGCTTAATTGGTTGAGAGTTGAAAGATTTACTCCTATTAGTACCCAATCACAGTGCGTCTTTCGGGGCCTTTTGTCAGATTATACCCAGGTCCTCTTGATACTTTACAGTTTAAACCCCTTTGGGAGGAAGTGCAATATCAATTATTTTGTTTTTTGTTTTTATTGGTTTCACTTTTTAAAAAATATATTTTTACTGATTTCAGAGAGAGGAAGGGAGAGGGAGAGAGAAACATCAATGATGAGAGTCATTGATCGGCTGCCTCCTTCATGCCCGCACCCTGGGCACGTGCCCTGATCGGGAATCGAACCATGACTTGGATCCTAGGTCGACACACAGCTGTTGAGCCACGCCAGCTGGGCTGCAGTATCAACTTTTTGAATCACTATATTACATTCTTAGCAAGGAGTGTTTGAGGAATTTTCTTGTGCAGTGTGACAGCTTCCATGTCAGATGTAATCAGACCCAACTCAGGGTCAGCCTTGACATTCAGAAGCTGGGAAATGAACATACTGACAAGGTTAATCTGTGCCTCACAGATATCCTTAAGTAATATGATTACAGCAAGGAAATGAAAGATAAAACCTGCCCTTTCTTTACATGTGTTGTGATGATCTGTCCAATCTGATTTCTTTCCTGACACGCAGATTTGAGGTAGTTGGCTACGGATGTTCCACATGTGTGGGAAATACAGCGCCCTTGTCAGAAGCAGTTCTGAATGCAGTGAAGCAGGTAAAACAGGGCTCAGCAAGACAGCCACCGGGGTTTCCTTTTAACTGTATTTTGTTATTAAATTATAGAAAACATATATTGGTGTGTTTATACTTCTGTAGTCCTTGCACCTCTTGGAACTGTGATTCTCTCTCATCGTTGATGTTTCTCTCTCTCTCCCTCCCCCTTCCTCTCTCTGAAATCAATAAAAACGTATTTTTAAAAAGAAGAATGTAAGGAGTTATTATCACTTTCCGAATTGATAGTTTGTGTTTCATAATTGGTAACATGCTTTTTTGTTATCTTGCCCTAAGGTATATAATCTTTGAAGCTGGTTTATGATTACCCAAATTGGTACCATCTCTTGAACTGAAAATATTTATGTATATTTTTCTTTCAGGGTGATTTGGTTACTTGTGGAATTTTATCTGGAAACAAAAATTTTGAAGGTCGTCTTTGCGATTGTGTCCGTGCCAATTATCTTGCCTCCCCACCCTTAGTGGTCGCTTATGCCATAGCCGGCACCGTGAACATAGATTTCCAGACAGAGCCTTTAGGTACCTTTTTCTTTGTATATGTACTTACATACCTGCACGCGGGTATTACATTTGTTAGATATTTGTTATATTTTGAAATGCTGCTTACGCTATTTTTTCTTTGAATTATTTCAGGAAATTGCACCCTAATGCATAGTTCCTAATTTCTATATCTGTAGAAAGGGTATAAAACGTGCACGTAATTAGTTCTTCCAGCTGCTTAAGTCTGACACACTCTGTTGTTAAATAATTTATTTGGTTTCTCTGATATGTCTTTGAAATGACGTGAACATCGTAAGGGAGTTGTTTTTTATACCAAATCTCATTTTTTAATTTTTTAACCAGGTACCGACCCCACCGGCAAGAATATCTACCTGCATGACATTTGGCCTAGCCGAGAAGAAGTCCATGAGATAGAGGAAGAGTGTGTTATAGTGTCCATGTTTAAAGTGCTCAAAGAGAAAGTGGAGGTCAGACGGTCGCTTGTTTCTTGAACAGTGTGATAAAGCAGCAGCGTTTATTCCATCTGCCTGCTTTCTGAATAGGGTGAAAGTTTACCTCCCATTACTTTGAAGGCACAGTGATGGTGGTTTCGATGGACTGAACGAGTGATGGTTGTTTTGTATCTGGAACCTCATATCTAAGAGAATGGCTTAGAGCCCTAGAATTGATTTGATTACTCACTAGAAGTACACAGCAAGCACTTACATTTGGCATCCTGAGTAAGGGTGCGTGTCATTGAAGCTGTCCTTGCCTGTCACTCTTATTTAAATGGCTCAAAATTCAAAACAAATGAGAGCAAACAGTGAAATCTCTTCCCACCCACTCCCCAGCCACCTACATCCCCTTCAGAGGTGGCCAGTGGTGCCAGTTTCCTAAGCTGCTTCCAGCGATATTTTATGCACATACAAGCATAAAAGAGAATATAAATATGAGGGCAGAAAAAACATTCACTTAGCAAATATTTATTGAGCTCATGATGTGTTTGGCATGTTTCTGTAAATGAAACAGTTCTCATGGGGAGAGGCAGACAGTGAACAGTGCACAGAAAAATTAGGTAAATTATACAATATATTAAAAAAGTGATACATGCTATGGAAAAATCTAGATAAGTTTTGAAGAAGGTGAGCAAGTGGGTCCCATAGCTGGGCAAAGAGCAAGGCTTTCCAGGCAGAAGGAACACTGCGAAGGCTTCAGGAGGGAGCCTCAGTGAGGACTGTGACTGCAGCACAGGAAGGAACAGTGGCGGTAGGAAGCGATGTCAGAGAAGGGGAGGACCAGAGCTTATAGTGAATTTTAGGCCATTATAAAAATATCTTTTACTGTGAATGAAGTAAGATGGGGAGCCATCGGAAGATTTGGAACAGAGTGTCATAATCAAAAGGATTGCTCTGTCTTTGTGCTGAAATGTGTGGGGGAGAGGCAGTTGGATAAAAGGATTGAAGCAGGAAGCCTAGTCAAGGCCAGAGTACAGGTGGTAATGACAGGGGCCATCGTGGTGCAGAATAGCAGTGACATTGGAATATAGTTTGAAGGCAAGACTAATACACAGTGATATGGGACAAATACATTGAAAAAAGCAGGGAATTTTCTTCATTGTCATATCCTTCGAGATTAACAGCATATCCCCCCATGTCCCCAGCACACTTAATTTCTCTTTAGCAACATGTATAGATCTAAGTTCTCTAGCTTTTTTTGGATTCTATAAAGTTTTGGTTTTTTTTTTTAATTTTAATCCTCACTCGAGGATATGTTCATTGATTTTTAGGGGGAGAGAGAGACATTTGATGGGAAGGGGGATTGGGCCCAAAACCTGGGTATGTGCCCTGACGGGGAATCGAACGCATGACCTTTCAGTGTACAAGATGATGCTCCAGTCAGCTGATCCACCCCACCAGGGCGAATTCTGTAGTCTTTTGTGTTCTGTTTATATTAAAACTTAGGGTGTTCCTAAAAGGGTGGTGTGCTGGTGTGATGAGCATATCTTTATTCCTTTTACGAATGTCATTATTTTTTAAAATGCGCTTTCTTACATTTCTTTGGAAATGGATAAGACCTTTTTTTTATCCTAACCTAAGTACTGTTTTATTTCCCTGATCATTTTTATAAGCCGCCTTTTCTGACTCTGTTTTGTCTTTCTTTGGTTCTCAACCAAAACCATATTCACAGATGGGTGATAAGCGGTGGAATTCCTTAGAAGCACCGGATTCCATTTTGTTTCCGTGGGATTCAAAGTCCACTTATATCAGATGTCCCTCATTTTTTGACAAGCTTGTAAGTACGATTTTACTCTTTGATCTTTTAAAGGTTGTTATGAAATAACAGATCTCATGAAGGGTTAAATACCTTCAACTTCCTTTTCCCTTTTAGACCAAAGAGCCAGTTGCCCCCCAGCCTATTGAAAATGCCCACGTGTTACTGCATCTGGGAGACGCAGTTACAACAGACCACATCTCACCTGCTGGGAGCATCTCCAGGAGCAGTGCTGCTGCTAAGTATCTGACAAACAGAGGGTGTGTATGAGGACCCGGAGTCCTGTCTTCTTTCTCCGGTTGCGTTCCTTCTCCAGTGAGCACATGCTGTCCGAGGTGGCTGTTGGCAGCGCAGTTGACTGAAGCAGTAACTGTGGTACCTGTTGTACCTGCCTTTGCTTACAACTTTAGAAATTGAAACTTCTACTTTAAGTAGAATCTTTGTAGTCTAAATAAAAAATTGATAGAAAATAAGATTTTTCTTTTTCAATGCTGCTTTGTTGAAAAGCCAGGTTGGTTTGACCTGCCAAATAAAAGTCTGATGATTTGGCTCTAACCAACCACTCTCCTGTTACCGGAGTGTGAAATTTAAATGTTTTGTGGGCTATACAGTGTACATTCGTGAGGCTACACTTGACTTGTATCAAATCAAAAGACAGCCCTGGCCGGTTTGGCTCAGTGGTTAGAGTCACTCTGCCCCGTGGTCTAAAGGATCTCGGGTTGGATTCCCGGTCAGGGGCAGGTACCTCAGTTGTCAGGCTTGATCCCCAGCCCTGGTTAGGGCAAGTGCGGGACGCAGCCAGTCAGAGTATCTCTCTTACATTGATGTTCCCCCCCCCCACACACACACACACACTCTCTAAATAAATCGATGAAAAGAATATCCTTGGGTGAGGATTAACAAAAAGAAACAACACAAGACTTTTTTTTTTTTTTTAAATCCTCACCTGAGGATGTTTTTCATTGGTTCTGGAGAGAGGAAGGGAGAAACATGGATGTCAGAGAGAAACGTTTAATCGGTTGCTCCACATACACACCCGACTGGGGATGGAGCTCGCCAGCTTTCTGTGTACAGGACGACACTGCAGCCAACTGAGCCACGCCAGCTCAGGCAAAAGACTTTATCAAGCCACTTGATCTGACACCTGGTTATAAGCACACAGGGGACAGAACAGCATGTGAAATGAGAGCGATGCCACAGCCTCGATACAGAAAACTGATGAAATACAAGGGCATAGAAAGAGATTAATGTAAAGATTAAAAGAGACTTGGGACCAACTGAATGAATTTATGAACCATATTTGGATCCTCAGTTGAACAAATCAACAAAAATGTGTGGAGATAATCAGGGACATTTCAGTATTAACTGGCTATCTGATGTTAAGAAATTGTGATTTCTTTTGGGATTTTTTGTTTGTTAATAGTATTTTTTAGGAGTCCACATATTTTAGAGAAACAAGTTGAAACAAGTTGCTAAAATATGCTGAGTTCCCTGGGCATTCACTGCTGTTTTCTCTACTTTTATACATTCTTGAAGTTTTCCATAATACAGCGTTTTTGAGTAAGTTTTACTATTCAACAGTGTGTGATTATTTTCCATCTGAAATGAAAACTGGCTTTCATAACTTTCTTGTAGCCTTACCCCTCGTGAATTCAACTCCTATGGAGCCCGAAGAGGCAATGATGCTGTGATGACAAGAGGCACTTTTGCAAATATCAAGCTTTTTAATAAGTTTATTGGAAAACCGGCTCCCAAAACGATTCATTTTCCCTCTGGACAAACAGTAAGGATGTATACAAAGTATTTAGACAAGTGCTAACTAAATCAAAATTTGTATGAATGATTGTTGTGTTTGTTTTAATCTACAGCTAGATGTATTTGAGGCTGCAGAGCTGTACCAGAAAGAAGGCATCCCATTGATAATTTTAGCAGGAAAGAAATATGGTTCAGGAAATTCCAGAGACTGGGCTGCCAAAGGACCATATTTGCTGGTATTGATTCTTAGATTTTATCTCCTTAAACTTCAGAGTTTTAAATATTTAGCAGCAGCATCCTATCAAAGTTTATTTTACTCATTTGGATTTTTATGCTTATTTCTGTCTTTTAACATTTGTAGGTTTTTAAAGTGACCTTACATATTTTAGACTAAGCTAATTGCAATACTCTGAATTTGATTGAATCTCTATCAGTCTTTTCTTATTTTAGGAAATCAATATGGTAGACTGAGAGAAGATAATAATTTGTACCCACTGGTAGTTTTACATGCTCTCTTTTCACTTTTCTTGGATTTGCTCCATTGGGATTAGCAGACTCAGAGGTGTGGGCCAAGTTTTACCTTTTTTTCCCAGATAGATGATGGTCCCTGGCTCTCTGCCAGGAAGACATTTCTCCTGAGACCTTTCCTCTGTTGACAGCAGCAGAGAATCTGCTGGCAAGAACAGTCATGTGACATGTGTGACACGTGTCTTCTTCCATCTCAGATTCATAAGTTCTCCACTTTCCGGTTGTGGTTGTAAAAAGGTGGGCCAAACACAGCCATCCTAGCTGTCATATGCATATAGGCTTTATTTTTCAATCTTTAATCTCCCCCCGAAAAATGTAAATAGTCTGAGGAATTGTAGGAGTAAGCCAGATATTCTCATGTTTCTGAGATATTAGTTATAAGTATTGTGAATATTAATTATAGGTATAGGTTTCCTTTTTTCTGAAAGTCTTTTAGTCTTTGTTTTTTATGCTCTAGGCTTTCCTCCTGTAGCAGGTGATCCTTGATTGTCCATTTACTTAGACATTAAAAAACTGATTGCAAGGTGTGGGGTGGGCTGGGTTTTGTCAGTCAGTGGGCTTTACTGTCAGTGATTGGATGGTAAGCTACCTTTTTCAGTGAGAGGCAGCCTTGTGTGTCAGGATCTGTAAGTATTTCCTCTGAGGCCATTCAGTTTCTTCAAGGATGGAGACCCATTCAGGACACAGGCTTCAACATTGCCCTTATTTCCAAAGGTATTCTCACCCCAGCCTTCCCCTGTGCCCAGTGTTTCTCAGTCTAGAGCACTCACTTTCACACGGTGATGGCACTCCCAAGAGGTGAAAATCAGTTCTTGGGTGTTAAAAAAAAAATCTTACTTATTTTTATGTATAAAGTACAGGTACACATATAGTACATAAACAGATACACTATATATTTGTGGTATTAAAATTTTAGGGATGGGCAGTGAGGGAAGAGATGTGATTAGGGGGAAATATCTATAATAGGCTCCTAAGGGCAATAATTATTTTTTAAAGTTGAGAAACATGCATCTAAAGCTCCTCTAGCTTATTTTCTCCAGAAAATATACTTTCATCTTCTGGAGCAAGGACTGACCAGCAGATCTGACTGCTGTTTAGACTTCATGACCAGCACTCGGTGTTCTGAGAACCTCAGGCCTCCGAGTCTCAAGCCTTTTGTAGGTTCTTTGTTGTATGTGGATGGACTTTGACTTGGTATCACTATCTAACTGTAGTTTTATCATTCTGTACTTTCAGCATTGTCTGCTAAGTCAGTTACCTGTGTCTTCTCCTAAATAGTTACAGAGTTCACTCATTCTGTTCCCTTTGTTGCTATGGGGTTACATCTTTTCTGTTCCTTTATTTTAGTGGCATTTTAAGAGGGAGTGTAAATAAGCACATGTTAGATCCACTATGATTGATTAAGCAAACCCTCCTGAGCCCTCTGAGGTTCAAGCAGCTATTTACAGAGTTCTTACTGTGTGTAGGTACTGGCAGGACTGAGCTGTGGAGGATCAGAGAGGCAGTTAGGCAGCTACTTTAACACACAAAACTCTATAAAAGACTCTCTAAATACTCTGATACAGCATTGATCTTTAGGATGATGTGTTAGGTGAAAAGTTTTTTACAGAAAGTCCAAACGTAGAATTTTTTTCCTTTAAAATGCTCACTAAAGCAACTTTCAGAGATGATTGAAGGAAATAAAACGCACGTTTGTTACAGGGTGTGAAAGCTGTTTTGGCTGAAAGTTACGAAAAAATTCACAAAGATCACTTGATTGGAATTGGCATAGCTCCGCTTCAGTTCCTTCCAGGAGAAAATGCAGAATCCTTGGGCCTCTCCGGCAGGGAAACATTTTCTTTAACATTTCCTGAAGAGCTGTCTCCTGGAGTTACGTTAAGTGTGAAGGTATCTCTAAAATTCTGAAATATATGATTGTATATTCTATATTCAAGTAGATGGTTATAAGTTGAATAACAGCAATTACTGTGACTTGCATACTGATGGCAGGTGGGAACATCAACTAGTTTAAGGTGGCTGTGCTTCCTGTTGATGCAGTTCTCTGAGGAAAGGCAGGAAGCACTGGGTAGTCGGTCCAGGAGGAAGCAGGTGTGTCAGCTGCCTTCCTGCTGTCAGCTCTCTGTTCTGATTTAATTGTAATGCAGGCATCTGAGCCACACCAAAGGAAGGCAGAGCTGTGAACACTCAGGGTTAGAGGAACACAGACTTGACAACTAAGAAAAGAGGAACAGATAATCCTGTGCAGTGAATATTTAATATAAAATGAGCGTGAGTAGTTAGAACAACTTTCCTGATAAGGAAGTCAGAATCTAAATGACTTGTTTTAGTGTTCCAGGTAATATAATACTTATCATTGAGAATTGGGGGTGAAAATACCTTTACTTAGCTGTGAGGCCCACGGTTGGTATCTCAGGTGGTTCTCAAGCAGAAGAAAGGTTTCTCAGACAGAATATGTGGCACAAATGGTCTTGACCACTAAGTGACGCTTTGGAGATTTTGCCACTCATGCGATTTTTTTTTTTATTTGTTTAAAGACAAGCACTGGGAAAGTGTTCAGCGTGATTGCTTCATTTGAAAATGATGTGGAAATAACATTGTACAAACATGGAGGATTATTAAACTTTGTGGCACGAAAGTTCTCATAGTATCTACTCACCATGGATACCTTTCCAGACTGGTAACTGCAAACCAAGCCTTTTGTGCTGGACCCAGGAAACCTCACCGTGGAGCTACAGGTAGTCCCAGAAGCTCACTTATCTCATCCATGGGTGACATGAATTATGAATCAAGTAGTGACAGAATGAAATCTTGATTTTAAATACTATCGAATGGTGCTATTAACATTGCTAATATCAGCGTGTGAAGTGTGTTGTGGAAGAGACTGGTAAGTATGAGGGGTGTTTTATCAGACTGTTTGTAAATAAAGGCAGAATTTGAGCTTGTGTTGAAGATTCTTATATGAATAACCTTCCTGAAGTTGTTTGTTTAGTTTTGCATCTATAAAACTGTATACGACTGTTTGTTGGTTTAAGGGTAGGAGATTAAAACATAAGAAGCCAGATTAGACTGTAAAATGTGGAAGTTGGAATCTGATTAATAAGTGGACTTCCGGGTATATTAATTCCTTTTCAGAATTGTGCTGGATGTAGTTGCCTCTCTTAGTTTGTAACATAAGCCAGGGTTACCCTCAGTCTCAGTCTAACTTGTAGGGATAGAACCTGCCCCAGATACAGTCACTGTCCAGTTCAGCAAAATTTCCTCCACATGCGAGGATGAACTGTGACAGGACACCAGAGAGTGTAGCCCCCTCCACCGCAGGTTAACAGCGACATTGTGTCATGTTTGCAGGCCTTAATTATTCGGAGACCTCTGGCAGGACTCAGCTGGCATCAGCTTTAGTGGATTAGATTATTTTGCTCACCGTACGTGGTACTGTCACTTTCTATGACCTAATATTTTAGGTGTTGTTAACCAAAATTCCACCCTCATTTGGAGTTGCTAAAGAGAGCTGTATTTAATCATTAAACACTAAAATGATTTCCTCTAGATTTTTAAATTATCCTCCCTGAATTATATGGTTGCTCAGCCCTTTAAAACATTGGTTATTTCTTAATTATTTAGGTTGATTTCCTGTCATTTTGAATCATTGTTTTACCTGGGGTGTATGATTCTGTTTGTGGTGTTACGCTTTTTTTGTTTTAATCAAAGCTGACCATCAGGATAAAACACTGAAGTTGTTGCTCAGCACCGTATTTTCTCTAGATGCATGTCTATTTACCACCTCGAATGCTCTGTCACCAAGAAGTTCAGCAGCTTTCAAGAAAAAGGTTGGATAATGAATTCCAGAAAGTCCTATTCCCCTTTTTTAATCAAGAAATTAACTTTCATGGCAAAAGGCAATTGCAATGATTTTTTTTTACATAAAGATCTTCAATGTGACCTAATTAAGTTACTGCAATTCAGCATTAGTTCACATTGCACAGAATAAAGAATTCCTTGTTTTAAAATGCTGAAACTGTGACACCAGTGGGAGAAGACCACTGAGACCTTTGCACATAATCATACAATCTTTTCAAAATATTCTGCAAATATGTGTTTAGACAATTAGATGGGCTAGGGTTTAACAATTTCCCTTTATTTAAAATTTTTATAAGTATTTTCTGTGGTACTTTCATATCAAATTGTGTTCTTGATATTTTATTTTTCTGTGTATTTGTCAGTGCATGTGTTTCTAATTTACATGAAAACATGAGTTAAGGATGGAGAATTTCCAAGTTGAATGTTGAAATACCTGTGATAGGCTTTGAAGAAGTGATAATTCCAGATCAGCGGTCGGCATCTATATTATTTTTAAGCATATTGTAATAGAGAGCCTATGGGCAGAGGCATGGGCTTCGTGATAAACCCTGATCCAGGAGATGAAGATGATGAAGCTAGCTATGAATTAAACACTTGAATTTCCAGTCTGCCTAGTCCAGTAATTGTACAAGCAAATCTTATATTTCAGGAACAGAATCAAGGGTCTCTTAATCTCTTGCTTATATACAATGAACCAAAAAGCTTGATAAGCATGGATATCAATTGGGAAGGGGAATCGTGGGTGTATGTCCCAATGTGTACCTTATAATTCTGCCTCTTGCCAAGTACTGTTTGCAAAAATGTGGCATATGTTGGTTTTTATTGTTTTATCTCCTTTGTTATCTATGTCTGGGTAATATGTTTAAAAAATATATTGTGGAAAGGTCATATAATGGTTACATAAGAGAAGAAAGTAAGTGTTGTAGAGTTAAAGCACATTATGCTGCATACCGTTGCCATATTTCATGCCTTTGGGTTTTGTTACTCTTATGAAATGGAATCAGTTAAAGTGGCATCCAACCTCTGAATTGCCATAATTATACCTAAAGTTTCCAGGCTGGCAGTTGTCATTATTTCTTGTCGTACCTCCAGATGTCCAAGGCGACATTTGCATGAGTGGTATTAGGATCCCTTTAGTCAGATTGCTCAGTTTTCGCTGGTGATCACACTTCAGTGGTACTAAAGGGGAAACAGTGCAGCTAAGACCTAGATCGGAGTCACAGTCATTCGCATACAATGGTAACAGTGTGTGTGCATTGCCTTCTCGGTGATGAGTGACAGGTGGGGAGAAATGAATTCACTGACATTTTTCTGTTGAATTAAAAGACACCTTCCTTTTGCCTTTTGGTTTAGGAGAAGGTTCTAAGGTACTGGGTGTCAACTCTATCTGAGTTTGATTTGGAGTAGTGAAGAGAGGGGAAGGAGATGGACTTAGGTTTCTTCAGTGGCCTTCTCCTAAGGTGTGATAGTGCCGATGTTTCTATCAATTTTACACAGAATATGTGACTATGAAAACATGTATCTCACGTAAGTAACTACAAATTGTCAATTATTTAAAGCCAACAAAACAGTGTAGCAGTTTTAAGTTCAATGATGTTAAGTATTGTATAGAAATATATTGGAGGCAAAGTTCAGTTCATGACAATTGTGTATATGTTATTGATGCTGTAAATTATTTTTAATAAAGAAAATTGTATTATCACATATTTGACTCTTCTAATAAAAATACTTTGTGGTATTTTTAACACACAAAACACCTAACTTAGAATGGCATCCAGAAGATTCTCTCCAAACGTTATCTAAACGTTCAGACATGAGTTACGACTGCTGCAGTGTGGACCATGGTCATTGTCATTCGTACCTCGAGCACTTCCTTTCTGTTCTGGGCCCAGTGAGAACGAAAACCAAGGTGAAAGTTTGAAATAGTGGGGACAGCCTGGATGGAACAAGTAAGCTATTCAAGAGTGGTTCTAACACGTCTTATATTCCGGGAATCAGGTTTTAGAGTTGAAAAGACTAATCTCTTACCCAAAGGAGGATCCCTTGTACAAATACCATCTAACTGGACAACCTTTTCTTAACTATTCAGGAGATGGAGCCTGCTCTCCTCGCCAGGTCGCTCAATTGGTTAGATCGTTGTTCCAATACGCCAAGGTTGCAGGTTTGATCCCCGGTCAGGGCACACACAGGCATCAACCAATGAATGTGTAGGTGAGTGGAACAACAAATTGATGTCTCTCTCAAATCAATAAATAAAAATTAAAAAGAGAGAGAGATGGAGACTGCTATGCTGGGCAACCCATCCTGTTGACTGAAGTTTGAATGGTAAGGTAGCCTTTATTTCGAGCTCAAATCTGTCTCCTGGTAGCTTATATCTATGGATTCTAATTCTCCCTATTTTTACTGCGCCTCTTAAAGCACTTTGGTACAACTAAACATTAAATGTATATTTAATGAATAAATTGGACCTTCCATAAATACTGCATGTAACCTCCATAAAATAGATCATTTATTACGGAAATAAACTTGTTAAAGTGGACATTTAGGACTGAGTTGGGGGGTTCAGGCTTTAAGTTGTGTATTACAGGAGGAATGGCCTTTTCTTGATGATGCAGGAGGTGCTATGTTTTCATGAGCCAGCTGAAGGTGCCACCTCCTCCCTCTGCGCTGGCCATTCATTAGTGTTCCCATGAAGCATCTTCCAGACCTGGGACCCAAGACCATGGACCTCTAAAGTCATGTTTTGTAAATAACATCAGCTGCTCATGGATCTAAAAATATCTGCCTTTCTTCCCACTCTTAATGGCAACCTAAATGGGTGATTAAAGATTATTAAAATTTGGCATTCATAAACCAAAATTGATACATTAAGTTTTCTAGGGATTCTAAAGTTTTTCAGCATTACAAAGGCTAATCCCAGCATAACACATGCTGATAGTGTGAATACTCGAGAGTTTTTGAGGAAACGTCATCAGTGTTGCATTTTGTTGGCTTGCAGTTTTCACTTGATGCCAGTTTTGCTTTTTAATTATGTATTGGTTTAGCCTAAGCTTATTCTTTCTGGTCTGATGTGAGTTTGGCTGATAAGTTTTTCAAAATATCAAACTAATGTTTGTGTTTAATATACTTCAAAAATGGAACACCTATTGCAAAAGCAGGTGTGTGAGTAATCCCCACAAAATTTGCTTGTCTGATGACAGTTGTCACTGAATTTTGTGTTCGCATGATGTTGACACACAGTTTTGAGCATTTTAAACAACCTGCAATGTACTGCTAAAGGAAGTATAAAACTACTGGGCTATTACGTTTTATAGTATAAAATCACGTCTATAATCTCACTTCAAATTTCATTTTGCTTCACTCTAGTTTTTGATCACTGAATTTCCGAGATCCACATGTCTCGGTGGCCAAGTAAAGAAGAAAAACTGTCAGTGTGACAATGACGTGATTTGTCTATCAGATTGGTGGAACTTTTCTCATCGTGATATCCAGTATTGCCATTATTGAGGAAAAATATGATTCAGATCCAGTAATGGGACCGAACAGTATCTTAAAGACATTAAAATGCACAAAAGATTTATGTATGGGGATATTCTTAAAGGCACAGAAATGCTCAAAGTGCATAGGGGAAGTACAGTATTTCCACAGAAGGTGAAGTGAGTGGAAAGAGACCTGCCGAAGGAAGCAGTTGGTCTAGTAGCCCTGTCTCTTCAGTTCTCACCAGTTTCCAGATTTCAGTCCTTATTTCCATTCCCTCATCCCAAGGAGAGGAGGGGGAAAACGGACAGAGTGAGAAGGGGGAGAGAGTTCAGGAGCTGCCTGCGGGGACAGCATGTAGAGGGGCGCAAAGGCGCCAACAGGAGTCAGATTCTAGTTGCAGAAAATCAGTCTGCCTAAGGAATGAAATGTTAAGAATGTCGCCCTGGGGCTGTAAAAAGGGTGCTTCTTGGAGATTAGAAGTGAAGCAGATAAGCAAATCTGAAGGGGGAAAGCGGCCATCCCTCAGTGGAGGTTTGGGAAACGTCCAAGGCTATCAAGGTGACTAGATAACCGAGTCTGCTGTATCCTGATAGGGAGAAAAAACAAAAGCATGGGGGAGGGGGAGTGTGCATCTACAAAAAATAAGGACCGAGTTGCAGACGTGAGTGGCGGGTGCCTAGATCCCTCCTCAGTAGAGAAGTCCTGCGGGCTGCAGAAGTGCATCCAGCTGTCCCCCAGAGCCTGGTGCCCTTGACAAGGAGGATTACCCAGTGACCCGGCTGTTACACCGTGATTCTCAGACAGCCTCCTGAAAATCACGTGCTTCTGCACTTTCCTGCAGGGAGAGAATCCTCCGACTGCACTAAAGATTCTGACCAAACCGCTAGTTCCTCTTGCTCAGTGTAAATGAACCACTTATCGCTCCAGACCTAAGCTGTGGTCACTCACTCCTGGGAAACCTCCCGCTCCCTTTCCATATGAACTCAATGGCTTGGGAAGAGGACAGAAAACTGGGTGCTGTGTGTGTGGTCGAGGCTCTGCGCCCCCTGAGCTTCAGTTCCCCATCAGCACTAGGAGGTGCAGACCTATTCTGCAAGGCCATTTCACTTTCCACTGGGAATGTGGGAGCTCGGTTCTGTGCAGAACGCAACCAGCCCGATCGCGGGGAACTCCAACCAGAACTGTAGTTCTGGGCCTTGGATGCGAAGGCGGCCTCCGGGATGCGTGCTACCTGCAGGGAGGGAAAGAAGGAGGGGAAGCAAAAAGGGTGCCAGTTGTGCCCAGACACCTACGACCCCTAGAAAAACGGTCCACGAAGCCTCCTACGTGGACTGGGGGGACTGCGCATTGCCTCCCAATAGCCTGAAGCCTGCAAGGAGCTGCTCACCAAGGGGCGGGGCAGAATCTCGGAGAACCAATCAAGAACCAGAAGCCCGGTTCTGCCGGAAGGCATCCAGATTCTGACGGGATAAGCACCGAGAGAAGGCGGGGCCGGATTGCAGAAAGCCAATCAGAAGCCTGGCCTCTGTTCTTTGTGTTTTTTTGTTTGTTTGTTTGCAGCCTCCTAGGGCAGGCCGGGGCGGGGCCTCGCCCCGTTGCCTGTGCTGATTGGCGGAGGAGGATTCTCGAGGAGCCAATCAAGAGTCAGAGATCTCGGGCTCTGAGCCGGGCTGGACTGAGGCGCAGCTGTCAGGTTGCGACCACCCCACGAGAGACCGGGCCGCGCGAGACGCCCCCGCGCAAGCGCCAGACCTCAGCTCCGGCCGCTGCACAGCGGAAGCCGCCTCAGGACCGCGGGTCGTGCAGGGTGAGCGGGCGGGGAAGCGGGGGCGAGCCCGGGCCCCTGGGGACCGTCCCGAGCGCGCAGAGGCTCGCTGCGAGCCTGCGAGTCGGTGCCTCCGGCTCGATTGAGACCCGCTGGTGCCCGACGGCCGGCCCCCTCCTTCCGGACCCCAGGCCTGGAGCGTGGAGACGCGCAGGGGGGCGGCCCCCGCTGGACCTCGTGGCGCCCTGGCGCTGGGCACCCGACCTGGGTGACGCCCGCGTCTTGGGTCCGCAGACGCCTGCAGCCGGCTCGGCCCCCGCTGCCACCCACGCAGCGGGAAGCCCCTCGCAGCGCCCTGCAGGGCATTGCTATCGCCCTTCAAAATCAGGCTCCACTTTCCCTTTCTGTTTCCGAGCCCCTGGAGAGGAGGCAGGGACCTTCTTTCGTTAGTGGCACCTGGGC